AAAAAACTATAACAAGGCCACTTTAAAAGCAAAGAAATAATTTAATTAATTAATAAAAAATGATTTAAAATATTATTGGGGAAAAAGTAGGTTGGGACTTTTATTCACTGGAAATTGATTGTGAAAAGTGGGCGTTAACCAATAGCCTGCCTGGCATAGATGATGTCACCTGGAAAGGAAGTTGTTTCAGAAGTGGAGCAAGCTTTTTTTCTTTGGAATAATTTGCACTGATGAACTGTGTGCAATAAAACCACAAATGTGTATTCAACTGAGTTCTGAGTTCAAGTTCACATTAACTCACTGATATGGTCTATGGCTCCAGCACAGAACTTCCCGTAGAACTTTTTGGCCCCCAAACCACGGAGGTCCTGGATGGTGAACGGCCAAAGGTGAAGAACATTGTTCCGTGAGAAAGCATCTCGCTTTTCCACCAGAATCACCCTGGCGCCAAGAAATCGCAGCTCTATAGCGGTCCGCAATCCACACGGACCTGCACCTATGATTAGACACTGAACACACAACAAAAACCTGCATGTGAAACAGTTTTCAGCACGCTAGTGAAGAGAACTCTCTCTTGCAATGCACTGCGGGTGACTCTTTGTACCGTGGTGCTGGTGCAAGCATGGCCTCTCATGTATTCTCTCTGGCTGGCTCTTTTATCCAGTTTGGCCCATAGTGCTTTGGCCTTCCAGTAGTGCAGTCTGCTCCTCAGGGTGTGGTAGAACTGCGGCTGACCGCTGGGATGCAGCTTCAGCTCTTCACACAGCTCCTGGAAGGCCCTGAAGGTCTCCTTGCATGTGGCGGCTTGAACAAAGGCATCGAACAGGGCGTGCACATGACACGTTTTAGACTGCCCGTCCCACATATCTGCTCCTCAAACGACCACGATGACCCACACAGGAGTCAGCTCACCTCCAGAAGGCACCAGACACAGGACATCTGAGGAAGAGAAATTATTTCTGGCGACTGCAGGCTGATTTTGGAAACATGGGGAAGAGATGAACATGGAATAGGGAACAGAGAAAGCAATCCGCATAGATAGGCTGTGAAGCAGATTTTTTTGTGAAGTCAGCAAAAGTGCTGCCACATTCTTATTCCTCGCTATCCACCTTCACATCATGTTCCACTCAGACACATGTCTCTCATTAACTCCTCAACTCAATGACACTCAACGTGTCACTGCTTATATAACAGATATTTTTATGAGAGCCATTTTATTGACACAAATATATATTTATATTGAAATTAAATTAATTGAATTGCCTTGGACTCTGGTGTTGCACACATACACACATCACTTTCCTACTAATTATTATAAGTGCAATAAATAACTTGTGATATAAATGATTAGTAATATTTAGTATACTATATTAATAAATAAACTATATTGTTATAATTAGTGAATATACTACAGATACAAGGTTCAGAGTGAATAATTAGTTGATACTTGGACATTTTGAGTTCATCATTAGTGTCATTTCCCAAAAAAAAAAATGCATTGGTGAATTGATAATGCAAAATCTCTGTTTTCAAATGTTTTTAATAATTTTGAGTAAATAAATAAACAAATAGATAAATAAAAAAAAACAAAATAATATTTCATTTCACCAATTTTGTAAATCTCATTACCTATGATTATATTGTATTATCTGAATGTATGTTTATCTGTATTATATCAAGCATAGATAACTATAGATACTATGTGTGTGTGTGTGTGTGT